CGAGGGTAGAGGGGTAGCGTGGGACACACCAGACGGGGCAGGACCAGGGGGGGGCGGGGGTACCGGAGGAGCGGGAGCAGGAGGAGGAGAGGGTGCGAGGAAAAGAGGGGGAGGGGGTACCGGGAGACCTCGACAGGGGTACCGGGTGTAGTAGGACACGGACTTGTCAAAACGGACGTCACGGGAGTCTAGGAACTGGTGGAGGGGAGGGTGGTAAAAGGACCAGTCGGCAGAGTCCACTGGGAAACCAAGGAAGACACAGGGGACGGCGCGTGCCGAGAGCTTGTCCGCGGAGGTGTCTCGAAAGGCCGACCTGACAAGCGCAAGGCAGCCCCAGACTCGAAAGGCCGACCTGACACCAGGGGAACCAGTCCAAAGACTGGTCGGTGAAGCCTCGGGCCGCGAGACACGCGGCTGGAGGTTCAGCTGGTGTGCGGCGTAGCGAACCGCGTGGGGCCACAGAAAATGGGGCGCACGGGCATGGATCATGGACGTGCGGGCGATGTCTATGACCAAGCCTATGCGGCGCTCAGCAACCCGCTCCTGCAGTGGGGACTCTGGCAGTGTCCAGGACTGGGTGATGCCCTGTTCACCGCAGAATCCGCCGAGAATGCCGGAGCGAAACTCGCCCCCACGGTCGGAGTGGAGACAACTGACTCGACGACCACGAGTGCCCTCAGTGGCTAGAAGCCACCTAATCAGCGTAGCAGTCACCTTGGACTTTTTCGCAAGAGGGAACACTGTGGTGTACCTGGAGAAGTCGTCGACGACCACCAGAAATTAACGCTCCCTCCCAGACCCCTGCGTCGGGGCAGGGCCCCAGACGTCCAAGTGGAGAGCCTCGAAGGGAGCGGTGGCCGGACGAAGGGAGGAGGAGTGGGGAGTGGCGCGTAAGCGACCGGCGACGCACGGAGAGCAAGGAGGGGCAAGCGAGAGAGGGAGCGACGGGAAGGTGCGTGGGAGACCTGTGACAAGTGCCTGACTGAGCATGCCACGAAGGCGAGGGATCGACGAGTGGCCAAGACGGTGGTGCCACAGGACGGTGCGGTGGGCGAGAGAGCGACAGGAGCAAGACGCAGCGACTGGACTGGACACAGCGACCGGACTGGACACAGCGACCGGACTGGACACGACTACCTGACTAGACACAGCAACTGGACTGGGGACCTGGGCCGGAGGGGACGCAACGACCTGAGGGGAGGACGCGACCGGGGAGCGCTCGGTGTGGAGAACGTAGAGACCGGAGCGGGGTTCCCTGGTGAACGTGGCCAGAACAGCACCTGTGGTAGCGTCAGTACAGACTGCAGTCCGCCCACCCCCCACGAAGGTAACCGTGATCCCCCTGTCCTGGAGGTATCCAACACCCACCAAGTTCCGAGTGAACGAGGGGATGTGGAGGCCGCGCAGGACACCAGAGGGGACCACAGGGCACGGGAGGGTGGTGGAGCTACGCGCAACGGCTGGTCCAGAGGTAGGATCATCCAGAGCCACCGACACAGGTGTGAGGAGTGGCGTAAGGGTCGTGTGGTCGCGGAAGAAGCACTGAGACGCGCCCGAGTCCAGCGTGAACAACAGATAGGCCTCAGCCGGAGGGTCACCTGACCCAGTCGCTACACAAGCACCTAGAGCAGCAACACAAGCACCTAAGCTAGACAGGCACAAGGCTACACTAGCAGGAGGCAAGCAGGCTAAACTACGAACACGCGAGCACACAGATCCATCAGCACTAAAGTCAGCATCAACATACAAAGCATGCTGACGCGCATCGTCCATGGACAGATCAAAGACATCAATCTTACGGGCTAACAGACGAGACCAGCGAGGCGTGACCGCCAGAGGGCCCCAACGAGCCCGGTAGAGGTCGTTGAGGCGGCGGAAGCACCGCGCGGCAGAGTGGTCGTCGCGACCACAGAGACAGGGGCTGCCCGGCCCGATGAGGCACCAGTGGGTGCAGGGGCCAGCGTCACGGCGAGGGGGGCGAGGGGCCCAGCTGGAAGTGCTGCTGCTGCGGCCGGTGCTCCCAGGGCCTCCCGGACCCCACTGCGGCGGGGGATCCCAGTGCTGCTCCGGACCCCACTGCAGCGGGGGCCCCCACTGCTGGAACTGCTGCGGTGCCTGCTGCTGCTGCTGTCCCTGCTGCTGCCGCTGTCCCTGCTGTGGCTGGTGCTGCTGTGGCTGCTGCTGCTGGGGGGCAACGCCCCCACCGGTCGGGCCACCACCTGTGGGTGGGCCTGTCTGTCCTGCACCTCCTCCAAGGCCCCCTCCCCCTGGTGCACCACCGCCGCCGCCGCCGCTGCCTCCGCCACCACCGCCGCTCCCACCTCCACCGCCACCTCCACCGCCGCCTCCACCGCCCCCACTTCCCCCCTTCCCGCCCTTCTTGCCACTCTTGCCCCGTTTCTGCCAGTCTGCGGCAGAAACGGCAGCAGTGTCCTCAGAGACCGACACAGTAGCAGAAGCGCGGGTAGAGGTGAAAGTGGGAAGCTGAGGGGCGGCACACCCCGCAAAGAGACGGGGGGCCACCGCATCAGTGGCGGAGGCAACGGTGAGGAGGCTGCTCTCGATGGTCCCGAGAGCAGTCTGAAGGAGGTCTATAGTGAGCTCAGTGGGGTGCTTCTGAAGAAGCGCGTCGCGGGCAGTGGCAAGGCGGTCAGGGAGGCGGGTGACTAACCAGTGTACAGTGAGCCACATGGGGGGGGGAGCAACAAGGAGCTGTGCGTCGGAACAGGCAGCACGGAAACCGGCGTCAAGCGAGCGGAGGTGAGTCACTAGGTCGGAAACAGTCGCAAACGAGCCTAGGTCGGGAAACACAAACGGCATGAGGAGGCGACTGAGGGAGGCAGAGGAGGGGGTGGAGTAGCGGGCAACAATAGCATCCCACACCCCCTGGGCTGTCTCCACCTGGTCAAAGTGGGCGGCCTCAGTCGGGGGGAGAAGCTCCGACAGTGTGAGAGCGGCGGCCGCGTCACGCGAGAGCCACACGTCCCTGGCCAGGACCCGACGGTCGTACTCCGCCTGGGCCGTAGGGGTCGGCTCCGGGGTGGTCGGCAGGGCGGCGGGGGACGGAGGGGCCGGTAGGACACCAGACGCGTGAGCCCACAGAGTGGCGCCGTCCTGTCGCTGGCTGGTGAGGAAGCGCGTGGTCTGGCGCTGCCATGTGCCGAACTCTATCGGGCGTCCCTCCGCGTCGAAACGGAGGCGACGCGACTCCATAACGGATGTCATGCTAGAGGCGGCTGGAGCACGGCGGAGGCTGAGCTAAGAACGAGGAGGAAACCTACGGAGCGCCAGGAGGGAGAACGGCGGAGTGAGAGGCTAGGAGCACTGAGTGACCTAGGCTAGGCGTGAAACGGAGGATCTCCAGCTACAACGGCTAGGGGCGCGATACTAGCGGCTAAACGGCTCGGTGATAGACCAGTGTCAGTAGAGCTGGGGAGGGCCCCGCGCACAAGGCGGTGGCGGGGCTAGGGCGCGTGCCAAGGGTGGGTAACAGGAAGAGAGGGGCGGGGGGGGGAGTTTGCGACGGTGGTAATGGGCGGGGAGGGCGGTTTTGACGGTGGGAATGGGCGGGAGGGCGGTTTTGACGGTGGGAACGGGCGGGAGGGCGGTTTTGACGGTGGGAATGGGCGGGAGGGCGGTTTTGACGGTGGGAATGGGCGGGGAGGGCGGTTTGACGGTGAAAATGGGCAGGGAGGGCTGTTTTGACGGTGGGAAAGGGCGGGGGGAGGGCGCGACGGTGGGAAATGGGCGACGGGCAAGGGCTGGGGCGTGGGCGACGGTCTAGGGCTGGGGCGTGGGCGACGGGCTAGGGGCTGGTGTGGGCAACGGGCTAGGTCGAAGGCTGGGGCGACGGGCTAGGGCTGGGGCGTGGGCGACGGGCTAGGCGCGGAGGGCGAGGGGCAGGGCGTACGGGCCGTGCGTGGGCAACGGGCAGGGCGCACGGGCTACGCGCGGGCTAGGGGCAGGGCGCACGGGCGTCGCGATGGGCCGGGGCAGAGCCTCCGGGCTACGCGCTGGCTAGGGGCAGGGCGCAGGGGTGCCGCGACGAGCTGGGGCAGCGCCTACGGGCTACGCGCTGGCTAGGGGGAGGGCGCACGGGCGCCGCGACGGGCTGGGGCAGAGCCTACGGGCGTCGCGCGGGCTAGGGGCAGGGCGCGGGCTAGGCGCGGAGGGTGCAGTGGCGCGGTTTAGGCGCGGAGGCACAAAGGGTGCGGAGGTGCGAGCTAAGCGCGGAGGGCGCGGAGGGCGCGGAGGGCGCGAGCTAGGCGCGGAGGGCGCGGAGGGTGAACACTAGGCTAGGAACGGGCTAGGAACGGTCCTGCTCTGATACCATCTCAAGAGTGGTTAGCAACAAAATGACTTGGACTAGAGGAAGGTAGAAATGGTGGAACAAAGAAAGGGTGATAAGGAGAGAAGAGCTGGAGAAGAAGAGAAGGGCCGAAGGAAAGGTGGAAAGAGGAAAAGAAGAGAGGAAGAAACTAAAGGAAGGAAACACCTAAGGACCAAAACACCACAGCAACCCACACCACAAGCTTGAGAAGTATGCAGGGAAAGGATTGAGACACTGGAGCTCTGAGAACAGCCAAACCAGCTACACCAAAAAAAGAATATAAGGAAAATGGGAGAATGAGAGGGCAACAGCAAACATAGGTTTGCCGATTTGCACCTTGCACCACTCCTCCTAAACAGGCCTGGAAATGCCACATTTCTCCGTCAAGCCTGCAACCACTAGCCTCATTCTCTAATCTCCTAGTCCATGAACTTCTAACGCTACGCATGGCAGCATAACCAACGCCCATAGGCTATCCACCAGCCAAAGCCAGGGAGACGAACCACTGGAGAAAACTCATCCCTGGCACATGCAGCTCGTCTTCCTGTTGTCGAATGCTTTCTGGATTCTCCTGCCCGTTCCCTTGCTGACCCGCTCCCCACACCACACCCTTCCTGACCTCCGAGCCGGCAAGGGTGCCTTCAAGACGAGTGCTATACCCGTTACAAGTTCACGCTGACGCCTGCACGCGCGCTGCACCATGGCTGACTTGCCCACGTCGCTCCGCGCGCACAGCGCAGGTAGGCGAAGCGGATCCCCTGGCTGTGGCGCATGCTGCACCTTGCTCCGCTTCTATCGCGCTCTCAACCCGCCTAGCCCCGACAGGAACCGCCGCGGCTGCTTGTGCGGCTTGGACGCGCGCATGCTCATTCAGCGCGGAACGGGCGGAGCTCTGCGCGGCGGCAGCTTGTGCTGCCTCTCCGCGCACAGCCTTCCGCACGATGCGTCCGCCAAACGCGTGCAGCAGCAGCCAGGGGTGCGAGAGCACCTTGCTGGCGGACGGGCGTCGCCGCGGGTCCCTCTCCAGCATGCACCGAATCAGCCCGCGCGCCTCCGCCGACACTCCCGCCCACGCCGCCGACTGCTCCCCCAGATCCAACCGCCCGTGCAGCACGCTGTGGATCGTGGCCGCCTCGTCGTCGCCCCAGAACGGCACGCCGCCGCACAGCAGCACGTGAAGCACGACACCCAGCGACCACACGTCCGCCGAGCAGCCGTACTCGCCGGTGAACACCTCCGGCGCCATGTAGTACGGCGACCCCGCCGCGCCTCGCGTGCGACCGTCGCGACCGATGCTCAGCGCGAGGCCGAAATCCGCGAGCTTCACGCGGAGATGGGGAGCGGGCTCGGGGACGAACGCCCTTTTACGCGCAGAAGGGTTTGCGATCGATGAAGGGGAGGGGATCGCGGAAGTGGGACGCGCTGGGGCCATGCCAGTGGGAGAGAAAACTTCAGTTTTCTTCTCCGCAGCTGGGTCATGGCTCCTGTTAAAGCACAACAAGATGTTTTCGGGCTTGACGTCGCGATGCACAATGCCGCGGGAGTGGCAGAACGCGACAGCTGATGCCACCTGCATGAACACCTGCGCCGCTTCCTTCTCAGGCAGACGTCCGCGTCGCACGACGTCGTCGAAGAGCTCGCCACCTTCGCAAAGCTCGGTAACCAGATGCACCTCGTTTTCTTCCTCAAAGACCGCGTGCAGCTGAACTATCCCGGGGTGGCCTGCCACTTGCTGTAACATGCGAACCTCGCGACGCACGTCATCCCGCCCAGCCTCGCCGATCAGCTCTCTCTTCTGCAGCGTTTTGCACGCGAAGGCCTCGCCTGTCGCCTTGCGAATGCATTTACGCACGGCGCCGAATCTGCCGGACCCCAGGGGAGTGGTGGAGCATAGAGCGAAGTAGTCGTCGAAACGACCTGTTGCGGTGCCGAAAATCGGACTGGAAGAACTGGAGTCCAGGCTGGGACGAATGCGCTTAGACCGCTCGGGAATGGACTCGGAACCAAATACAAGCTTTCTTTTCCGTGCGGTTGGGAAAGGCTGGGAGGAGAAGCTATTCGCTGTTGATGTGCTATTCCTCTGAAGAGCCATGGTTTTCCGTTTAGAGAGATCTAGGGTGTGGGTGGGATGAGACTGCTGGTGACAGCTGATGGAAATGACACGTTCCTACTGCCTGCTGAAGTTGGAAGCCTGGGCTTTACGCAACTTTCCACTTTCCTCACACCTGGGCGAGATGGAGTGGAGCTGACGGCGCGGCTCGATAAAACCTTGATGGAGATCACGCGCCGCTCTGGGCAGCCTTGCGGTGCGGTGCGGCCGAACAACCCCAGGTCAGATGTCTTCTGCTGCCCGTCAGTCCCTGCTTCAGCAGCGACTGGAAGCTTTCCGGCTAACCGAACTGTAGCGGGCAAAAGAAATGAGAAGTTTTCGCGACATCTACCCAGCATTCCTGTAAATCGTGCTGATATCGTGGGATGCGTCAGCCTCACACCGATGTATGCTGTTTGGTAGAAGACCCCTTTCCAAGTCGCATGACTAATCAAATAGGACGTTTTCCCGCGAAAACGAGTTTCAGTCACTTCATTGGCTGAAACTTACATGCTGTCAGCGAAAAGCTGATGTGCTTACACGGCTCCTGCGAATCTGGAGCCAATAACGAACCCCGCCAAAAGTGGGAATGCGAAGGATTCACTAAGAGACTACGACGAAAACAACTTTTGGGAGAAGGAGGGGGAGGGGGGGTTACAGATAAGTAGTGTGTTATGAGTATGTGCAAGGAAATAACTTCTCCTTACCTAGCGTCATCACCTCTACTGCGTACAACACTGTTCCCCGTACACCCAACAGTATCCCGTTACCACCACGCGACATCTGCTTCGATAATCTTCCCGCCACCAACATTGCCGCGCCTGAACCACACGGATTGGCTCATAACCTGCGACCCGGCCCTAGTCTCGACAATTCCCAAACCTCGGCGCTAGGCCCAAAGGGCACCCTTGTCAGAATGTCAGCCACTATACCAATGGGATAAAAGGGCTTGTTAAGTAGCGGGTCGGTGTGCACATACCCTCCCAAGCCAGCGAGCCTGTAACCCTTTCCTATGATCAATCGAGCATCTCCAGTGCATGTCTTCTAAGAGCGTGTTCCTACGGCCTCATATCAGGCAACCTCGTATCAGATTCGCGTCGAACCGCACTAAAACGCATCCAACCACAGTCGAACACACTGAAACGTATTTCACCACGCGAATCTGATACGAGGTGTTTCTGGTACGAGGTGTAGGAACACGCTCTAACACCCCCCCTCATAGGGATGCCATAGGACACGTCAGCGGCACCGCCAGCATGCGCGCACATGGGGATTCAAACCCCAGGCCTTCACTCTGATACCATGTCAGAATCCCAGCCACTAGACCACTGAAATAAAAGGGCTTGTTAAAGCCAGCAGCTAAAATAGTGACCCCCCCCCCCCCCTTCTAGTTGGGTCCATTTGAAAGTTGGAAGTACTGTTCAGTATTTTTTTTCCAGGCGCATATCATACTGATCGAGTCTCCAAATTCTTCTCAAATCCAGCAGCTAAAATAGTGAACCCCATCCCATCTTGAAAATGAGTTTTTTCGTAAGCCCGTTCAAGCGAGCAAGAACACTGTTTCAAGCAACCCGTCCAAACAGATCGAGTTTACGTGATTGGCTCCCGCCAAAACAAAATTTGCCGCTTGTACAAGGAGTCGCATTCGTAGACCTGCACGACGGTTGCACGACGATGGTTTCGATCGCTGGACCCAGCTTCAGCTTCAAGTTGTGTCTGGGTTCACTACTAGCTAGTTTCTACTCCCGAATACTCTATTTTTCAGCCTACCTTAGAATAGCTGAGAACCTAGACATTTTCTGCCTAGGCGCGTAGATTATGTTTTAACTTAGATGCCTAATAATTTCGTAGATTAGCGAAATGATTTTTCGCATATCGCGCAATCGTCACATTTACCGTCACAATCGCTCTGCCGTCGCTGCGTCACTCTTTGCAATGTCGCCATCACGCTCGCAATGAAACGCCCTCCCATCGCCCTCCTCTCTCCTGTCGCCCTTTCTCTCTCCCATCGCCTTTCCTCCCTCCCGTCGCCTTCCTCTCTCCCGTCGCCTTCCTCTCTCCCGTCGCCTTCCTCTCTCGCGTCGCCCTTCCTCTCTCCCGTCGCCTTCCTCTCTCCCGTCGCCTTCCTCTCTCCCGTCGCCTTTCCTCTCTCTCGTCGCCTTCCTCTCTCCCGTCGCCGTTCCTACTTTTCTTGACTGAATTAGCTCAGCCGACAATTCGCACTACCACTTTCGTCGGCCGCGCCAGCCTCACGACCAGCCCAGAATCCCGCGAGTACGTCTCAACTCGAGACGTGCGTGCTCAGCGGAAGTCTCACCGAGGCACACGACACAGCATCGTCACGATGACGAATTGCGCCGCTCATTCGCCTTTCCATTCGCCGTTTTTCCCGCGAGTCGACGGCGTGACGCTTCTCCGTCGATTTCTTAGAGAAAGCAGTCGACTACTGGGGGAGAACGGGGGAAGCGAAGGCGAAACTTCAGGAACAAATCCAAGCTCTAGCGAGGGGAGGGGAGGGCGATTTGAGGCGCGCGTGACGGAATCGAAGTGGGTGATAAGAGGGGGAGGAAGGGCGACGGGAGCTTGATTTACCGAGAGCGCGAGGGCTACCACGTAAAGGGGAGGGTTACACTTGCGAGCGACCAGAAAAATATTAACTATACGGAGCCACGTTTACTACATTACGCACGCTAGCTAAGTCAGATCTTACGTGCCTAGGCCAGAAACATCTATGATTTCTCAGCTTTACTACAAATGCTATGCAAAAACTAGTGACTTCGGGACTGGAAATCAGACGGATCAGCTAGTCATCCACCCAGTCCCAACTTGAAGTGGAAGTTGGGCCTGGCGATGGAAACCATCGATGGGCAACGGTCGTGCGGGTGCAGTGTGTAAAAATGCGACAGTTGACATGGGTATGGAAAATCGTTTTGGCGGGAGGGGAAATTTTCAGATTGGTTTGAGCCAATCAGATGAGTTCAAACTGCCTATTTGGTTTGTTTGGAACAGTGTTGTATCATCCTAACCCATCGCAGCTATTTCAAGCTGGGACGGCCTTCACAATTTTAGCCGCTGGCTTTAAGTAGCGGGTCAGTGCGCCCATAACCCCCAGACCAGCAAGCCTGTAACCCTTTCCTAGGATCAATCAGGCATTCCCAGTGCAGGTCTTCTAACAACCATTTGCGAGCGCGCGCCACCGTTATCACTAATTTCTCTATTCAACAATTTCCTCAGGCCTGTATTGTTTTGGGTTTAGATAATGCAAGTCTCGCTCGATCACTCAATTGCACTCGTAACACTTGGTATTCAAAGCCACACTCCTTTCGGACCGCGCACACCTTCGCTTCCCAACTTATTACATTTCGGGGGAGGGGGGGGGGGGGGTACACATCCCTCATCGGCCAGTGCCGTTGTTAGTGTGCTCAACCACGACCGGGACTACCGCTGAGCTCGCCCAACGCCCCTCGCGTTCGCATCTTGCTCAAAGACTTGACCCAGGAACGCCTTAACGAGCTCACCTGCCAACTGTATGAACCTGCACTCGAAATCGCGACATTGACGGCGTAGCGGGAATCGCTTAAGCAATCGACTGCACATGCTCCTGCACAAACCCCACCCGAACCTCCCATCATGATCACCACCGGCACCGCAACACTATCACGCAACGACAGCGTGGGACATCTTTCAGCCGCAGCCAGTGATGGCGCCGCTCAACGGATGCCAGGCATGGAGCATACAAGGGCAATTCCGGGCATGGATGTGCCGCGCGACAGTCGCGACGCGTCACCATTGCGGCGGATTTTGGCCACGACGAAGTCGCACAACCGATGCCGCTCAAGCCCCAACGACCACCTTGTTTTGACCCAAGCTAACGTGGGGGTCCGACGGTTCAATCGTGGGTTTTCACGATGAACGTATTTTTCGACGCGAATTACGTGTCAGAATGTGATATTTGTCTAGTCTGCAGTGGGGTACTCTATAGTGAGTACAGCCCGGTTAGGGTTTGCTATTTGTATCCCAACTGCCTGCTAGTGAAACCCCCTTCTTCTGTTATCTTTCTGCTCGCTTGATTTTGACATGCTATCAGAGCGTCTACGCTCCTGGCCTGTGGGCCCACCTGCTTCCGCTGCTGTACTGTCTGTCGCGCGCCCCGTGGCGCGCGACGTTTTTTCTTCCCGCCACGCGCTCGAGGCGCGTGGCGGTTTTCTGCCCACCACGCGCTCGGGGCGCGTGGCGGTTTCCTTCCCGCCACGCGCCCCGGGCGCGCGCGGCGGTTTCACGCTCCGTCACGGCGCTCCCGGGGACCCGCGCGCCGCCCCCCGTCGTCCGTCGCGGCGCCCCCGGGGACCCGCGCGCTCCCCCCGTCGTCCGTCGCGGCGCCCCCAGGGACCCGCGCGCGGCCCCCCGTCGCCCGTCGCGGCGCCCCCAGGGACCCGCGCGCCGTCCCCCGTCGCCTGTCGCGGCGCCCTCGGGGACCCGCGCGCCGCCCCTTGACCCCGTGCGCCGCGAGGCTGCTTCCCCCCCGCCCCTCCCCTTTCTCCTTCCTCTCCCTCCTGCATGTGCAGCTATGGGGGTGGCGGGTATGGGGGTGGCGGGTGTGTGAGCCGTCCCCTGCTCCTCCTCCTCCTCCGTCTCCCACTGCTACAGCTGACGCTGAGGGGGGTGGATGTGTGGGAACCGTGGGAGTGGCGCTAGGGGGGTGCCGTGGGAGTGGAGCTAGGAGTGCATAGGGGGGTGTGTGAAAGGGGGTCTGCGACAGTGGGGGAGGTTGAACGGAGGTAGCCGTTGTGGAGCCAGCAGCGCCAGTAGTCCGGATGCCCTTGCTCCGGTAGCCAGCGAGCCCGTTGCGCCAGTCGCCCGTGGGTCCGTTGCTCCAACCGCTCGTCTTAGCCGCGGAGCCGTTTACTCCAGTAGTCCGGGGCCCTTGCTCCGGTAGCCCGTGTGCCAGTTGCTCCAGTAGCCCGTGTGCCAGCAGCTTCAGCCGCCTCCTCCAATCTCCTCTCCTCTCACAGTCCCTCCTCCTCCTCACGAGTCCTCTATGTCTCCCACTAGCTTTGCTTGTGCTTATGAACTTATTATGTGACTACTTGCTGTGCTGATTATACCCCACTTTGCCTACGGGGGTGTGTCAGAATATGATATTTGTCTAGTCTGCAGTGGGGTACTCTATAGTGAGTACAGCCCGGTTAGGGTTTGCTATTTGTATCCCAACTGCCTGCTAGTGAAACCCCCTTCTTCTGTTATCTTTCTGCTCGCTTGATTTTGACATTACGTGACGTCGGACGCAGCAAAGTTTTGGTACGTCGTTTCTCTACTGCGCGGACCCACCATGGACTGGTGGCGAGTCATCGTTACCTTG